CAGTCGACATTTGCCCGAGCGTTGATTGGCGCAACCGATTCCGCCGCCGTCGCCGTCGCCGTCGCCGTCGGCGGCTCGACCAATCGAAGTGGGTGTGGAAGGATGGGGCTGTCGTGCGTCGGCCTGCGAGGCTGTGGACAATTGGCCTCGGCCAAATAGTCGAGCAAGTCTTGGCAAGCCGAGTCGACCAGACCGAATCCGTTGTTGTGGTTGTTGTGGTTGTTGTGGTTGTTGTGGTTGTTATTAGTTGTGGTTGTCGTGTGGTTGCTGCTGCTGAGCATGGTACCACTGGGGCTGGAAGAGCTGGCGGCGCTGCCGAAGTTGAGGAGCAGTTTGTTCTGCGACCGCGTGTGTTGCGGATACGGCGGCGGCGCCAAACAGAGGATTTGGCTGCCGTTGCTAACCTCTCCACCCCCAGCCCCACTTCCGCTGCCGCTTCTGCTACCGGACTTGGCGCCGCCGCCGCCGCCGCCGCCGCCGCCACTCTGGTTGCTGCGGCTGCTGTTGCTGGCCGCGGCAACGTCGCCGACGCCAGCTGTTCGCGGCGACTGGTGCAACTGCATGTGTTGCAAGTGTGCAGCGTGTGAAGGGTGTGAAAGGTGTGAAGGGTGTGAAGGGTGTGAAGGGTGTGAAGGGTGTGAAGGGTGTGAATGGTGTCGCGACGCGTCGTGAAGACAGACGCCGGCCAGGCCGACCAGACAGCCGCCCGACGGCCCGACGAGCGGGCAGACGATTGGCGACGACAGACCGGACGTCTCAAACGGACCGGCTGCGGCTGCGGCTGCGCTGCCGCAGCTGCTGTTGCTGGCCGGATTGTTGTTGGGCGCCAGTTGGTGCGGACACAGTCCGGTCCGACGGAACGGACTGGTGATCGCGTCGGTACCAACAAACTGGTTGAGCTGATGCGTGTCGTAGAGCAACGAGACGCCGGCGGAACTGTTTCCGCCACCGCCGCCGCCGCCGCCGACGACGACGACGGTCTCGGCGGAGGCGACGCCGAGCGTTGATTGGCCCGACAGACAGCAGTTGCCGTTGCCGTAGCCGTTGCCGTTGCTGTAGCCGTAGCCGTAGCCGTTGGTCGTGTGTCCGGGCAGACAGTCGACAGACTGCTTGCAGCAGACTTGCTGCTGGCGTCGACGTCGACGTCGACCTCGCCGCAGCCAGCAGATTCGGTAGACGGCGAGCAGGCCGAGCAACGTCGCCACGACGGCCAGACACGGCCCGGCCAAGCTGAAGATGAGCACATGCCGTACGGCCAACCGCTCCTCGCCACCTCGCACACGCACACTGGCCGAGTCGACAGCGTCGACGTTGGCTGGCCGCGTCGACTCTCGCCGTTTTGTGCTCGTGTTGGCCGGCTCCGATTGGTCCCCGGCCGGTGCCGGCCGGTGCCACTCAAAGTCGACGCCCGGCACTCCGGCCGTCGGACAGGCCGACTTTGCGTCGACGCCACGTACAACGTCGACCTCTCCCAGCGACTGACCAATCGTCTCGCCCTCCTCCTCCTCCTCCTCTTCCTCCTCTTCCTCTTCTTCGTCCATCACTTCACTCTCATCTCGCTCCTCTTCCGCCTCGTCCCACTCGATTTGCTCTTCTGCGTACTCCTCCACCCCCTCGGGCGCCTCGTCATTCTCGCCGTCGGCGTCGGCGTCGGCGTCGGCCAACTGGTCGGGCCCAGCGCCAGCCAATCCGAAGCCGAAACCGCCGCCGCTGGTGACGCCGAAGGCGACGGCGAGCCCGTCGATGCGAGTGCGCGTCGAGAGGCGACCGAGCGCGCTGGCGCTGGCCCACTCGTGCCTCGTCTGTCTGGCCGCCTCGTCCAACAGCGTGTCGATGCGCAACACTCGCAACCCCACACTCGCCCTCGCCCTCGCCCTCGCCCTTGCCCTCGCTTTTGCCCTCACCTTCGCCCTCACCTTGGCCCTCGTCCTCACTTTTGTTCTTGCGTTGGCCGTCGCCGTGTTGCGGCTGTTGTTACGCGACGGCGACGGCGACGGCGAGGGTAACGGCGATGGTGACGGCGACGGCGACGGCGAGGGGACGGGCAAGCCGCGAAAGGCGTCGGTGGCGAGCACTCGCAACGGGTTGCCGGCCAGATTGAGTCGGCGCAGACGGACGAGGCCGCGGAAGGTGTCGGCGTCGAGGCGAGTGAGCAGATTGTCGGCGAGGTCGAGTCGACGAAGCCGCGGCAGTCGAGCAAAGCCGGCCGGCGCCAGACAGTGGATTCGATTGGCCGACAGGTCGAGCGCCAACAGTCGCGGCGGACGTCGCGGT